CATTTTCTTTCAGGGTTGTCAAAAACCTTAGGGATCTAGGAGAAAGACCTTTCTGATTTTCAGGCTTTGTAGCCCCCGTACAGAAAGAGCAGGCCCTAGACCTTGATCTCCCGCCTGCAGTTCTGGCCCCCAACAGGCCGGTTGGGACGAACGAGTGCACATCACAGATGATGAGCCTGGGCAGCCAGCTGGGCCCAGATGCATGGGCTCCAAATGGGGGTCAGAGAGGCACAGGGGTTCCCCCTTTGACCAAGGACAAACCTGTTAGTCGGAGACTGTTTCTGAACAGAGGTGGGGTTTCTGAAATATCCGTGTTGGTCAGAGGAAATGGCCGAGGTACCTGGAACGTGATCAGTGAGCTGGGCCCCGTGAGTGAGGACGTGGGGTGAAGGTGTGGTAGGAAGAACTGGATTGCTTGGCTCCTGGTCCCTTTCACCCCATTTCCACCCACCTCCAAACTGTGCTCCAAGTCCTTTGCTCTATTATCTCTGGACTCCGTCTTCCTCACGCCAGCCCCACTGCCACATCCTAGTCTAGGCCTCCACTGTCTCCCACCTGGATGGTAGCACCAGTGTCCTGTAGCTTCGTGCCTCTGGATGCTTCTCTCCAGTTCTCTCTGTCATGCTGTCATAAAGATCATCTCCCTAAGAAGTCTGATGGTCTCACATACTCTGCCTAAAGTCCTTCCACAGCCCCCCAACTTATCCCTCACTCCATAGTCGAGGGGGTCAGGAACCTCTGTTCTCCATCCTCTCTTGCACTGCCTAGCAGGTGCCCCGAGGTCCCCACGGTAAGCTCTGCACTTGCCCCCTGGGCCTCTGCACCTCTTCATACCCGGCCCCACTCTGCCCAGAACACCCACAGTCACCCTACTGCCTGAATTCCTACTTCTCTCTCAAGACTGCTCCAGTCCTGACCTTATGGCAGGGGGTGGAGGCCATCTTCATGGAGGTGGACACTGGGTGACAAGGTCTTGGATAACTATAGGATTACAGGTGGGGGGAATATGGTGAAGGAAGATGCCTGTGCTATACCCACAAAATCTGGCCAGAGCACGCCTCCCTAGGGAGTGACCATAATGCCACTTGGTGTCCTTCTGGCCACGGGTTCAATTCCCACGAGGGTAACTTGGATTAGTTCTTAACCCCCCACCCCATCTTGCAGAGGAAACCCTCTGACTACAAGGGGGCCTTGTTGAGCCTGGCCTGGCCCGAACTGTTCCCTCCCTGCCAAGTGTGGACCTCTGGTCGTTCCTGGAGGAGCCAACATCTTCTCCGGGGTCAAGGCCACCTTGGGGTGACATGGCACCTGGTGGCTCCACTTGGACCTTGGGAGGGAGGTCTGGCTGGGCTAGTCCTGGTGTTTTGGAGGTGACTTCTTGTGCGGTGGCCTCACCTGGGACTTCTGCATTTAGTCTCATGATCTCCCCCAAGGCCATTGGGAGCCATTTGCTCACAGACTCTCCAGCATTTAGGCCAAGCCTGAAGGTGCAAAGTGAGATAGAGAATTCATGTCTGGAATAACAAGCTCTTTGGGGCTCCATTTCCAGCTAGCAGCCCCGCAATAAAACACCGGGCCTGTCTCCCTCTCTGGCAGCTGTGGCCACCTCCTTTGCCAAGGCTGAGGGAGCCAGACACCCGAGCCCCCCGTAGGTCCGGGGCTCCTGGCCGCCTACTCCCAGGGCCTGTCTCCCATGGGAAAGAACAGGATGGAGCAGTTTCCTCCCCACACATCTTCACCCCCATGCAAAATGGGTGAGCAGGTGATGTGAAAGCCATCGAGGCAGTTGGTCCAACCAAAGTCTTTTCCTCACCAAGATTCAAGGACGTCGAAAATACCATAGTTGGAAATTAATTCAAGACAGGCAGCGCCCTCTCTTCCGGGCATCCTGTAAACCCGACCAGTAACAGCTAACTTTTCTTTGCTGCTTCCTGGTCTCTAAGGTGCCTGTGCATCCAAGCCTCAGGAATCCTCGGGACGTTTCTGGAGGACAGGCACTATCATGCGACTCTTCACTTTATGGAGGAGACTTGCCCAGGGGCCTCAGCCCTCAGGTCCAGGTGCTCTGCGTCTCGGTTCCATGTGGTCCCTGTCACCTCGTATCCCTCCAGGACTTTGATGGCACGAGTGTGTCTGGCCCCGGGGCTCCGCGGCAGTGGTGCTGGGCAGCCCAGCAGCAGCAGGGAGGAGGTGAGCAGTCTACCTGCAGGGAAGGGGACTGAGAGCTGCGGCCTGAAGACGGAAAAACCCAGAGGAAAGAAACCTGGCACTTCACGCCAGGCAGAGCCTCTGTTCTTGGGGCATTTCAGGCCCGGGGGCGGGGGGGGGGGAACTAAGGACACACGTATTAGTTCTTTGGATTTGACGAGGGGCAGGCATATTTCAAAGGATTTCCTGGGTCAGGGTCTGTGAGCTGTGGTATGTGAGCATTGCTCTGTTTTGGGGGCAATGTGCTAGCGCCCTACCAGGGTGGGATGCCCAGCCCCCTTCCCTGGCTATGGAGAGTTCTAGGACCTTCCTTCCTTCCTTCCTTCCTTCCTTCCTTCCTTCCTTCCTTCCTTCCTTCCTCCCTCCCTCCCTCCCTCCCTCCCTCTCTCTCTCTCTTTCTTTCTTTCTTTCCTCTCTGTTTCTCACTGAGGTATAGATGACATGTAACATTATATTAGTTTCAGGCGTACAACACAATGATTCAATATTCGCACATAATATAAAACCATCACAATGAGTCTAGTTAATATCCATCACCATACTCAGTGGCAAAACATTTTTTTCTCGTGATGAGGACTTTAGATCTACTGCCTTAGCAACTTTCAAAAATATGCAATATAGTATTACGAACTATAGACACCATGCTATACATTACATCCCCAGGACTTAATTATTTCATAACTGGAAGTTCATACCTTTTGACCACCTTTCTGTGTGTTTCCCACCCTCTGCTTGTGGCAACCACCAGACTGCTGTCTGTATCCATGTACCTGGTTTGTTGTTTAAATTCCACATATAAGTAAGGTCATATAGTATTTGTCTTTCTCTGATTTATTTCACTTAGCATAAGGCCTTCCAGGTCCTTCCATGTTGTTGCAAACATCCAGATTTCATTCTTTATTAGAGCTGAATAATATTCTGTTATATATATATATATCTCACATCTTCTTTACCCACTCCTTATCCATTGATGGACATTTAGGTAGATGCCATATCTTGGCTACTCAAAATATAAACACACGGGGTGCTTATATAATGAACATGCTTTTCAATTAGTGTTTTTATTTTCCTTGGATAAATACACAGAAGTGGAATTGCTGGATCATGCTTTCTGAGGAATCTTCATGCTCTTTTCCATAGTGACTATATCAATTTACATTCCCACCAACATTCCCCGAGGGCTTCTGTTCTCCACACCCGGGCCAGCATTTGTCATCTCCTGTCTTTTTGATACTAGCCATTCTGACAGGTGTGACGTGATATCTCATTGTGGTTTTGATTTGTATTTCCTTGATGGTGAGTGATGTGGAGCGTCTTTTCATGTGCTTGTTGGCCACCTGGATGTCTTCTTCGGAAAAATGCCTACTCAGATCCTCTGCCCATTTTTTTAATTAGGTTGTGTGGTTTTTTGGTTTTTTATTTTTTTGCTCTTGAGTTGTATGAGTTCTTTGTGTATTTTGGATATGAACCCCTTATCAGACATAGGATTTGCAGACATTTGCTCCCATTCAGTAGGTTGTCATTGACTTTGATGGTGATGTTCTGTGTTGTGCAGAAGCTTTTCAATTTGATGTAGTCCTACTTGCTTACTTTTGCTTTTGTTGTCTTTGCCTTTGACCAAAGTCAAAGAGCTCACTGCCTGTGTTTTCTTCTGAGAGTTTTATGGTTTCTGGTCTTACATGAAAGTCTTTAATCCATTTTGAGTCTTGTATGGCATAAGATAGTGGTCTAGATTCATTCTTTTTCATGTGGCTGTTCAGTTTTCCCAACATTTATTAAAGATACGGTCCTTTCCCCATTGCATATTCTTGGCTTTATTGTCATAAATTGATTGACCATTTTGGGGTTAGTTAATTTCGGGGCTCTCTCTTCTGTTCCATTAATCTTCATATTTATTATGAATGCCAATACCACACAATTTTTATTTCTATAGCTTTGTAATATAGTTAGTTAGCAATCAGGGAGCATGATGCCTCCAGCTTTGTTCTTTCTCAAGATTACTTTGATGATTTGGGGTCCTTTGTGGTTCCATACACATTTTGGGATGTATTTCTGTGAAAAATGCCTTTGGAATTTTGATAAGGATTGCACTGAATCTGTAGATTGTTTTGGGTAGTATGGATATTTTAACAACACTAATTCTTCCAGTCTATGAATACAAATATCTTTCTATTTGTTTCTTCTTTGATTTCTTTCATTGATATCTTATCGTTCTCAGTGTACATTTCTCTTACCAGCAAGGGCTATTTTCTCCTACTTGGTACCTCTCTGAGGTGGTGCCAGCTTTTGGATGGGGCTTGTTTCTTCCTGGGCTGTAGGGTGTTTCCAACAAGTTCCTAAGCAAGGAGCTGGGAGTGGATGCTGCCTTCAGCAGTAGAGGGACTAGGTGCATAAATTTAAAAAGTGGGTGTAACATTTGTTAAGTTTGGTATCAAGCCTTTGGGGAAAATTTAGAAAGAGAAGTAAGCATATAGTGCATGCGCACTTTAGAAAGCTCATTTAATCATTCAGTTAGCAAATACTGGTTGTATTAGGCTCCTCATAGATGTTGGGGTCACAGAAGTGAACAAAACAGATGGGGCCCTCCCTTGTGGAGCTGACATTCTGGTGGCAGAGGCAGGAAACATCATAAATAAGGACATTGGCAGGTATGTTAGGTAGGAAGAACTGAGGAAGAGGAAAAGTCGGGCTGGGTAGGAGGAATGGGAGTGGCAGAGGGGTGAGGGGACTGGTTGAACTGTTAAATGCGATTCCAGAAAGGACTTACTGAAAAGGTGAGATTTAGCCAAGAGTTGAAGGAGGCGAGGAGCTAGACACTGAGATTGGGGTAGGAGGTGGAGCAGGCCCAGGTGCTCGGGGAGCAGCTAGTGCAGTGGGGTGGAGGGAATCAGGAGAGAAGAAGGAGAGGAAGCCAGAGAAGTTTGGGCTTGGGGGAAGGAAGACAGATCATGTGGGGCCTTGGAGGCCACCATAAGGACTTCAGCTTTTGCTCTGGGAAAAAAGGGGAGCCCCTGGCCGGTTTGGGGGCAAGACAAGATCGGCCAGGAGAACTCATTCCTGTCCTGGCGCTGCCAGGCACCTACCGTGACACTTGGACAAATCAGGTAAGATCTTTGGGGTGTACGTGCATTAGGGGTGAGATAAGATGGTTGGATTGAGGGTGTTTCGAAGGTTTACTGTAAATCCTTTGGTGTTAGATGCAGACCACACCAAGCAAACTCTTCACCGGGTTTTCTGTCTGCTGCAGAGTGTGCCACGGTTCCCTGGCTAACACTTCATTTTCCTCACTCTCCTTTCCCAGTTTGCGCCACAGGCAAACCCAGGTCCCCAGGTGCATCTGGAAGGGAGAGCCAGGGGCCCTGGAAGAGAGGGTGAATTCCTTGCCTCGCCCATGGGAGCTGAGTACAGCTCTCTCCAAGGCAATTACTTTTCCTGGCTGGGACCAACAGTAGAGCAGTTTCCCATGGTGAGGCACGCCCATGGTCTGCCCCCAACAACCCCTACCGGGCTGGCAGGATTGCGACAGGCAGAGGAAACAAGAGACACGCCTGAACAGGTCCCTCTGGGAGGGGAGCGGGAGGCACAGGCAGGGTCCTTTCCTGGGCAGGGTGGCATTTTCGGGTGCAGCGTCAGTGAGAAGGCCGGGGCAGCCTGCGTGTCACCAGGAGTGCATCTGTTTTCCTCTGGGAGTATCAGAGACAAACATCTCAGCCAGGAGATACCCTCCTTCCACGAGTGATGCCAGGAGCAGCTGCCCAAGACTCTTGATGCAGGATTATCAGAAGGGAGGAATCTCCCTCTTCTTGGCAGAGGGAATATGAAAGGAAGAACAGAGGTGTTCAGAGCTCCCCCCGCCCGCCCCACCACCTCCCTGCCCAGCTATGGCCTGCAACGGGCACAGGCCATCTCTGCCTTTGGTTCTGCATCCCTCCCGCCTCCAACAAACCCTCCCTTCTGCTTCTCCTCCATTGTCAGCTCGTAGGGAGCCCTCCATTAGCCAGGCTTCCAGAGCTGGAACTAAAAAAATATCATCCAGCCAATGGTTTTGAAACTCATGGCTCTCGCAGGCATGGCTGCTAGGCCTGTAGGAGAAGACAATCAAACTGTGGAGACAGATGAACTGTTGAGTTTGGATTAGCAGACCCATTGTTTTCCAAAAGCACAGGCCAACATTTCTGCAAGGGGCTTTTTTTTTTCTTTAAAGATTATATTTATTCATGAGAGACACAGAGAGGCAGAGGCACATGCAGAGGGAGAAGCAGGCTCCTGCAGGGAGCCCGATGTGGGACTCGATCCCAGGTCTCCAGGATCACGCCCTGGGCTGAAGGCGGCGCTAAACCACTCAGCGCCGCGTGCTGCCCGGGGCTTTTTTTTAAAAAAAAAAAAAACAAAAAAAACAGGTTTATTGAGGCATCATTTACATGAAGTAAAATTGAACTTCTTAGGTGTATAATTCAATGAATTTTTGCAAAGGTAAATCATCATGCAACTACCACCGCAGACAAAATATAGAATATTTCCATCACCCCCAACAGTTCCCTCATCCCCCTTTGTATTCATTCAGTCCTTCACCCCTGCCTCTGCCAGGAGTACTTTTCTGGAATGGTATGGAATCATGTTTCCTTTTCTCTAAATGTCTTAGTATCTGCCTTCTTTCAGTTAACCTTATGTTTTAGAGAATTGTCCAAATTGTTGGATAAGTAAGTCTTCTTTTCATTGCTATGGAGGACCATCACTTCATTTCTTTTTAATCTTTTATCAAAGATATAATATATATAAGATATAATATATAATGATATATATATATATATATATATATATATATATAACATGAAATTTGCCCTTTTAACCATTTTAAGGATACCTTTCAGTGGTATAATTATATTCACATATTGTGCAACATTCACCACTATTCCAAAATATTTCTAAAACTTTTCCTCACCCCAAACAGAAACTCTGTACCCATTAGGTGATCACTCCTCATGGCCCTCATCATCTCAAACCCACACTCCATTTCTATGAATTTCCCTATTCTACATTTTATATAAGTGGAATACACAACACTTATTCTATTGTGTCTAGCTTATTTCCCTCAGCACAATGTCCTCATTCAAGTTGAAGCAGGTAGCCGAATGTCATTTTTTATGGCCAAATAATATTCCATTGTGTGTGTATATATATCACATTTTGTTGATTAGTTCATCAGTTGGTGGACATTTGGATCATTTCTACCTTTCAGCTATTATGAATAATGCTGCTGTGAACATTGTCATACAAGTATCTGTTTGAATTCTTCTTTTTAATTCCCTTTTAAAGTACATACATAGGAGTGGAACTGCCAGGTTATATCATGATTCTATGTGTAACTTTTGAGGAATTGCCAAATTTTGTCTACAGTGGCTGCACCATTTAATATTCCTCCCAGCAAAGCATGAGAGTTCCAATTTCCCCACATTCTTGTCAACCTTTTTAGTTTCTGTTAAAAAAAAATATGGCCATTCTAGTAGATGCAAAGTGGTGTCTCATTGTGCTTTTAATTGCATCCTAGTGACTAATGGTGTTGAGCATGTTTTCATGTGCCTATTGGCCATCTGTGTATCTTCTTTGGAGAAACATTTGTTCAAGTATTTTGCTCATTTCTGAATTGAGTTGCAGGGGTTCTTTATATATTCTGGATATTAAACCCTTTCCAGATGTCATTTGCAAATATTTTCTCCCTTTCTGTGGGTTGTTTTTTCATGCTCTTAATAGAATCCTTTGACATTCAAAAGTGTTTTAACTTTGATGAAGTTCAATAGAATGTCCATGGTGAATATTTTTAAGATGCTGCTGAATTTGGTTTGATAGTATTTTGTGAAGAATTTTACCATCTATATTAATAGGAGATATTGGGCTGCAGTTTTTTTTTTCCCTTGTGATGTCTCTACCTAGCTTGGTAATGCTGACCTCATAGAATTAGTCAGCAAGTGTCCCTTGCTTTCATTTCTTGGGGATGAATTTGAGAAGGATTGGTATTTATTCATTTTAAAATGTATGTGATAGAATTCACCAGTGAAGCCATCTGCTTTTTTTTAATTTGGATGTTTTTAATTACTGATTCCATCTCCTTACTAGTTTTAGGCTTACTTAAGCTTTCTATTTCTTCATGATTCAGTTCTGGTAGGGCTTCTAGAAATTTCTTTCTTTCTTTCTTTTAAGATCTTATTTATTTATTTGGGAGAGAATGAGGGAGAGCACAAGAAGGAGGAGGGGCAGAGGAAGAGGGAGAAGCAGGGAGTTGGATAAAGGCTTGATCCCAGGGATCTGAAGGCAGACACTTTACTGACGGAACCACCCAGGTGTCCTGAAATTTATCTATTTTATATGGTGAGAGTACACTTACTAGTTCATAATTGGCATGTTCTCACTGTGTCCTCCCATGGTGGAAGGGTTGAGGGAGCTCTCTGGGGTCTATTTTATAAGGTCTCTAAATTCATTCATGAAGGCTACATCTTCATGACCTAATTATCTTCCAAAGGCCACATCTGCTAATACCATCGCATTAGAGGTTAGATTTCAAAGTATGAATTTTGAGGGCACAATGAGTCTATGGCCCTTTTGGTTGGGAAGTTTAATACATTTATCTTTAAAGTAATCACTGAAAAGAAAAGGACTTGCCCTCTGCCATTTAGTTGTTTTCTGTATGTTTTATATGCTTTCCCCCCTCAATTCCTCCATTACAGCCTTTTTTTGGTATTTAGCTTTTAATTTTTTCTAGTACACCATTTTGATTCTTTGTTCCCCCTTTTCTGTATATTTTTTGCTTACCTTCTTTGTGGCTGCCTTGGGGATTACAATTAACATTTTAAACCTTGACAACTTTTGAGTAATACCAACTCAGTTTCAATAATTTACAAACACTTGCTCTTATGCATCTTTGTCCCTCCCCCCTTTATATTCTTATTGTCACCTATTATGTCTTTCTGCATTGTTTGCTCATTAACACACATTTATAATTTTTAAGGCATTTGCCTTTTAAGTAATATAGAAAAAGAGAGAAGTTACAGGAAAAATGTAAAATAGCACTGACTTTTATATTTACCTGTGTAGTACAAGTGTTCTTTATTTCTTCACATGGCTTTGAATTACTGCCAAGAGTTATTTAACTGATCTGGTAACTAAAGCTTCCTTAGTTTTTGTTTGTGGGTTTCTTAATTTTACTTCATTCTTTTTTTTTTAAATTTGTATTTATTTATGATAGAGAGAGAGAGGCAGAGACATAGGCAGAGGGAGAAGCAGGCTCCATGCACCGGGAGCCCGACGTGGGATTCCATCCCGGGTCTCCAGGATCGCGCCCTGGGCCAAAGGCAGGCACCAAACCGCTGTGCCACCCAGGGATCCCTTTACTTCATTCTTGAAGGATGGTTTTGCCAGGTATGAAATTTCTGATTGACAGTATTTTTCTTTCAGCCTTTTTTTTTTAAGATTTTATTTATTCATGAGACAGAAAGAGAGAGACAGAGAGAGAGAGAGAGAGAGAGAGAGGCAGAGGGAGAAGCAGGCTCCATGCAGGGAGCCTGATGTGGGACTTGATCCTGGGTCTCCAGGATCACACCCTGGGCTGAAGGTGGCACTAAATGGCTAAGCCACCCGGGCTGCCCCTTTCAGCGCTCTTAAATACAAATAAATGTAAAAATAAATATATCATATATAATATATAGTATATAAATAAATATACATATTATACACATAAATATATATAAAGGCACCTGGGTGGCTCAGTTGGTTAAGTGTCTCCTTTTGGCTCAGGTCATGATCCTGGAGTCCCAAGATTGAGCCCCACATCAGGCTCTCTGATCAATGGGGAGTCTGTTTCAACTTTCTCCTCAGCCCCTGCCCTTGCTTGTGCTCTTTCTCAAATAAATAAATAAATCTTAATATATATAATCTCAAAGTCTTCTGACTTCCATGGTTTCTGATGAGAAATCAATTATTACTCTTATTGAGGATCACTTGGATGTGATGAGTTGCTTACCCTTTGCTGATTTCGAGATTTTCTTTGTCTTTTGACAATTTGACTGTAGTATTTTTTGGTGTGAAGATTTTTGATCTCATCCTGCTTGTG